ATTTAAAAAGCACCACTGATAGGAATCGAACGATATACAAGAGAGCTAACGCATGATAGCATGTGGTGGATACAATAAATAAATTTACGCAATATCAAAAGGTGTCGAAAATGTGTGTATGAAAGTCTTGTGGTGCCTCTGTTCATGTTTGGCAAAAAAACTTAAGTATAGCAGAAAAGTGAAATAAGTTTCATTAATGCGTTAGAAATGTGGTATTTGATAGGAGTATGTTGCATAACAATGAATGACTGTGTTAAAACTCAACATATGCTGGAGAAAATTGGCTCTGTGGTGGTTTGGCCACATTGAAGGAATGAAAAGAAAACTGTTGAAGAGAGTATAAGTGTGAAGGGTAGATGACAGGATTCGTAGATGAAGGGTGAGAAAGTGTTGTTTCGAACAGCATAATGAATATTTGAAATAATTCAAGGTGTTATATCGAAGAAAGAATATAAAGAAGTATGGTAAAAGTGCGTGGAAGCCTCTGAAGTAAAAATGTGTGTCTAGACAGGAATGTATAAAGAAAGATGCTGAATAGTAATCTGTAAGATTGTAGTTCTTTTTGCCTGTTGTGCACCCTTTTAGTAGAAAAATAATTTTTATTTTTATATATAAGGCTTATAATACATCTGACATATATATATATAGAAGAAGACCAACCTATAAAATGGGTTCATATAGTTAGGATTCTTACATGACGGCGAAAAAAATTGCGACCATATTCGTACAAACACGGCCATAAAAATTATTTAACGGCCATAAAAATTATATTTATATTAATGATGTCTCCAAAGTTCAGCGAATTTTTCGCAAAAAAAATTATTTATCAGGAAGCACGCGAGCGCCATTCGATGACAAGCTCCACGATGAAAACAAGCTTAAGCAATGGCGTCGTCGAACGGTAATACTCAGTAAGTAATCCTACAATTTTTTGTTTATAGCATAGTTTATATGAATTATTCCCAACAAATTACACGTGTTTTGGAAATGTTGAGTCAAATTAGTCTAGAATCGATTAATTTTATGGAAGAAACCTGTCAAACAGCCGTAATCCGTAAACTGCATACGTGCCAGACTGTGATTGGCTCATGTATTTAAGGACTCGTAGAAAATGGATTCATAAAAACCGGAACGTATCTACCGTGTTATAGGGGGGTCGACAGTATATGATTCGCTATATATACCAATGATTAGTTAAGCTGCTCCAGTCTAGTCTGACTGCCTCGGAATAGCGCATGTTTTAAGAAAACTACAAAGTGGCAATAATCACACAAAGGTGGTTCATCTGAGACGATCAAATCAACTTTATCAATGGAATACCTCATGATAACATTGAATGCACTAAAAAGGGTGTCAGCAGCATTAACCCAGCTTACTGGCCTGACATCGCTAATTAACCCTGGCCCATACAACATCTAACCATATTTACAGATGGCTCAAAGAGTAATATGGCTGTTGAATGTGCCTTTGTAATATATACTAATAATGAAGAAACATTGATATATATAACTAGACTTGGGGAAAACTGTTTCGTTTTTCAAGCAGAACGCTGGGCTACTTTTTCGGCGGTTAGATGGTGTGACTCCATGTAATATAAAACAGAAATAACAATCTTTACAGACTCCTACTCGTCTATGCAAGCCATTCACGACTTTCAGTGGCATTTACCTATTGTTCACGATATCTTGTGAAAATGGCCAAATATATGAACAGGTATGCCATCGTTTAGGTCAGGGGTCATGGTGGTGTTTCTGGAAACGAGCAGCCTGACCAACTTGCTCGCATGGCCTCTGAACTAAAAAGTGAACCAAGCTGTAATGCCATTTCCCAATGTCACATCTTAAGACAAACCAAAGAAGATGCTTTCGCTATTTGGCAAAGACAATGGGAGGAGCATAGCGAATGTCTTACAAAGGAGTTTTATTTAAGGTCTCAGATTTTACTTTTCCAATTATTGACCAAATATTGGTCCAATTCTATACTGGACATGGGAAGTTTAACAGATATCTTCACAGGTTTGGCAAATCAGAAAAGTCACTATAGTTTAAATTACGAAAATTATATTAATTTCTAAGTAAAAATCACAAAATTTTTATATTTATGTATTTATTTTTAATTATTTCTTTCGGTTTATTTATTCAATTGCAAAGATTAGTGGATGCTGGAATCTACGAAAAATTGTTGAGGGAAACAAAACAGACCCCAGGGGTCGGTTACGCTGGATTTCATCATTTTCTTTCTATTGACGATAGTATGAGTTCTTTCATTCGTTTACTTTCTGGCTATGTAATTTCTACCTTAATTTTCTTTGTTGAATTGCTACAAAAACAACAAAATATCAAATGAAATTTTTAAATACTGTAATTGAATCTATAACATAAACTGTGATTCTATTATTATGTTATTTACAGATACTTGCATATATTCCATTAGTTAAATTTTTTATAATGTGATGTCAGATATTACCTAGCATAATATCACACTAAATTCTTATGACACGAAGAGCTGTCATCATAGAATTCCACACTTGAACTAACCTTTGCGAACTGTATTTTTATGCAGTACAGTAATTATTGACTACAATAAAATCGTTTTTTGTTGTTTCACAAATGAATAAAATTAATCCGAAATAAACTTGTATATCGTTGTTGTATAGAATTTTCATATCAGTGAATTAAAGTCCATACCAGCAAGTAACTAAATTAAACAATTTATCACTGATTTGGTGATTTTAGCCTGAACAACGGTCTGATGATGTACTAATTTACTTGGGGTATTCAGATTTTCTGACATTTAGAGAGTGTTAACTCTCTTAGTGCTCTACGAGCAAAAAGAAAGTTCTCTATTATCTTTTAACATTTACAAATAAAATAATAAAAATGTATTAATCAAGTAAACTTTAAGCAAAAGGAATATTAAATAATTTCTGGATTAATTATTCAATTTTTTTAGCAAGTGATGTGAAGTGCCTAAAGAATTTACATATATTTGTCTTCATAATAGGTTATCTTAAGGTAGATTTATTCTTCCATGTTAAAAGCGTAATACATTCGTAAATTTTTTTAAAAAGTAATTTTCCGAGCTGCTTTCGGATTTAATCGGAATTACTTGTTATTAGCATTTACAAGTTATTGTAAGTCCTGTTCCTACCCAAAAACTAAGCATTTGCTATTTTACGATGATGAAAATTATAAAATGTCGTTTAACAAATCATAGTAACAGAAGGCCCAAACGTTGCCATTTAAGCAACTCATTGTTCTATTTTTTCTTAGTAATTTAATTTTTCAACCGGTATTATTTCTCGCGGAATCAAGTCGAAAGTTAAAATAAACAGAGACTGCAAAAATGTCACGTATAAATATTTTTATTTGAAAAATTGAATACAATATTTAGGATTGCCATAAAAAAATTAAACTATTTAAATATAACGATTTAATGATTATTTAATAACTATTTTATATACGAGAGTTATTATAACGTACAGTATCTTATATATTACAATTATTATGATGCACTATAAATAAAATACATATAGAAAGATTTTTTTAGAAAGAATGTACAGGGTGAGTCATAAGTCTCCATACAAATGATGAAAGCAGTGAGTAATTATTTTTTTAATTAGGAAGGGAACCAATTGAAAAGAAATGCCACTAACGAAGGAAGAACGGATTGACATTATTATGTTGGCTGGGAGTGGTACGATTCATCACGTAGCCCGTAATTTGAATTCAATGCACAGAATGCAGATAACACATAACACCGTGGCAAAACTTATTAAGAAATTCAAAGAACAGGTTCTGTCACCAATGCAAGCAGATCTGAAAGACCAATGAAAGCAACAGATGAAGATGCTTCAATACAGGTACTAGTAGCAATGGCCAGGAGTCTGACAAAAGGGACCCGATCTCTCTCTGTATAAATGGGAATCCGCCAAAGCAGTGTCATGCGCATTTTTCGAACTAACAAGTGTCACCCATACAAGCTGTAAACGTTGCAACATCTGACAGAAGAAGATTCTGACCGTAGAATAGAGTTCTGTGAGTGGGCAATCGACATGCACAAGAATATTCCTGGAATTGTTAGTTTTATCATTTTTTTAGATGAGACAAATTGTTATCAGTTGTGAAGTGAACAATCAAAATATCAGGTACTAAATGGATAGCAATCCGCATTGGATGTCAGACTATCCAGACCTCACTCAAGTGGATTTTTATCTTTGGGGACACCTAAAATCGATTGCGCACCAGCAAAAAATCCGTAATGTGGACCATCTTAAAACAAGAATTACATTAGTTTTCCAACAAATAACAGGAGACACATTGTCACGTGTTCACCAAAATTGGTTAGAGTGACTGTCATTGTGCTTCACGACATGAAAATGAGACATGTGGAATATATCTTTTAACTGTAGCATCATATGATACAATTTGTACGATATAAAATCAACATTAGACACAACGTTCACCATTTGTATGAAGACTTACGTCTCACCCTGTAAAAAATAATTCACAACAAACAACTTTAAAACAAATTTACCAAATTTCTTTAGCCTTTTGTAAAATGTGTAATTGATTGATTGCTGTTAATAATAGTACATAACTATAAATATATGTAGGTAGTTTGTTCTATAGGATATTCTGTGGTACAACAGTGTAATGCCTTTCTTAGCGCCAGCAACATCCATGTTGCAATTTTGGTTTTGGGACAATGTAAGCATTATTTACTGTTGTATTAACTTAGAATATGAGTTTCTTAAAATAGTTATAGAATAACATTGTATTGCAGTCAACAAAATGTTTTGTTTGTATGTTCATTCTAGGTATAGGTGAAACTGCATAGAAATTTCAAAGCATCTTGTAATTAAGTAATTATATTTACGTTTATTATATAATCATTATGCACTGATGTTTTATTCAGCCATAAATATTATAATTAATATAATTTGTGAAATTAGTTTTTAAAATTAATTTTAGTGTTTAAATATCAAAGTTTAACTGTACGATTATACGTCAATTCTATTATAAAAACTACAATAGAAAATCCATATCCAGCTGCGAGAAGAATAAAACAACTTAAGACATCGTCTATGGATAAAGGATAAAAAGTATCTTTAGCGATCTCTTTTGTAGACGGTGGCATAATATCCCTCACCATTTTCTTGTAAATACCGGTATCTCTTATCCATCCTATTCTGAAAATTAGCAAAAAAAAATATTTTTAGATAACATATATTACTTTTCTATATAAAAAATTAAAATCGATTAAATTTACCATATATACACTGAAACTAGCATGTTGGACCATACTAGTATTTTTTATACTAGTATTTTATTGAATATAGTGTGTGTGTATATATATATATATATATACTATATTCAGTAAATTACGAAGACAATAATATAGCTAGAAATAAATGCGTTAATATGTCTGTAGTGTGACAGGTAGTAATAGCAGATTCTTGCTATTACTACCTGTCACACTAAAGGATAAACACTACTACACTGCATAGAGTGTAGTAGTGTTTACCCCTGTACATCTTACTTTTCCTGTTAGCAATAGTGTCATCCTGATTATTTATCTTATGCCATAGAAGAAAAAGGTTTAGATTGAAATAACATGATTTATAGTACGAATTGGAAGTTTATATCTAATTAATCTGGTTCACTTTCTCTTAGGATTTACATGTCTGATCATGTTCTTCATCTATATAACTCCGATTTTGAGAGCAGTCTATTTAAGCGTTTTGTTATAATGCTATACACATTGTCCCAGTTATATCAGGTTTGGGCATTAAGGGCAAGAACAGTAATAGACAGACACCAATAGGAACATATAGGTCTGCTATCTTTTGAAATTGCATCCCAATAAATACATCTTATTAACCGAGTGGATACAACGACCGAACACTAGTAGTCAGTAATGGCGTCGCGCATTGTCAACAGACTGGTTACATGAAGATTCCTGGTGTTACTTCCCGTTTATAACATTTAAAAGTATGATCAGTTTTATATGAAAAAATTCCGAGATACATCCTCCTTGGCACATTCTTCTCGTGTCCTGTTGCTGTAACCAAATAACCCAATTGAATTCTAATAATTTTTCTATTAATATGATAGTTTTCAATGACATAGATGGAACATTGACACCTTGCCCTGGACAATTTGCCCCTTATTCTTATTTCGTCTCCCTTATTAACTCATAAACTCATTGCCACAAACATCTTTCACTCATACTGCTTAAGTTGTTCTAACGTTCAGCGAAATAAATGTACAGTATACAGTACAACAGTTCCTTCATTTTATTGGACCAGCGGTACAGTTGCATTCAAATAGGAAACTTGCGATTACTGGCCAGCAGAGTATATTTTAAGTATTAATAGTTTTCAAAGGTGCCGAGTTTAGATATTAATATTTGGTTCATTTTTTGTGAAATTTGACTGGTTGGTAGAAGATCATATAATATTTGCCGCTGAATGAAAGTGTGTGTTACTGTTACTATTGAATTTGTGCTATTACGTACTTTCCGAGTATCGCGATAAACGTGAAAATGGTTAATATATCCAAACTCTTTTTACAGTTTTTGATTTAATATTTGTTATATTAATGTACATTATTTATATAACTACAAAAGTAATCATAGGTAAGAAATTATCACACCGAGTGACCAATCAATCACATTTTAAGAAATCTTAATTCGTGCAATTTACGTAATTTAGAAAAAAATTTTAAATGTGTTAAATTGGTCACTCCCTGTTATAAATGCTTAAGTAAGGCAACTTTTCAAAATATAAATCAAATACTATAATATAATATAAGGATTAAAAGTATGAAATAATCTAATGATTGTATTTATGTTTTGCTTAAACAACGCCAGGCTTACCTTCAATTTCGTTTATAAAACGAGAGAGAGTTGCACGGCTTATTCCAGTTAATAATACGTTGTTGTAGTTTAGTATTTGTCATTATTACTTTTTCACTCGGGGAACCAACAGGTTTTTCTTCAGCGTAATCTGTTAATCCATCCACATATCCCAATAAGTATTAAGTGTATTTCTGGCCTCTAATGACTGACTTTCGTGGCATTCGATTACACGGTTAGACAATTTATAATAGTTACTTACACAGCTGACGGTATCAGAGCACTCTAGATAGTCTATCTTTAATTTTTACACCGGACAACACACAACTTCAAAACTAAATTTATAACTAAGAATTTTGCAGTCACGATCACATTCCTGCGATATCGCTTCATCGCACACGCTCGTGCTTCGACCTTATATCCCGAAGTCGATGTCACAGAATCCCACTTTTTATTATCATTTTGAATTCCTCATCACAATTAATGGAAAATGGAACTGATTAATGAAAATTGATTGAACAGATTTCGACAACGTACGCAATTCTGCAAGCCACATAAAAGAGGAATTACTAATTCTATAGCTGAAATATGTAATCTTATGTTGGATAAAAAATGTCTTCATGTATTGAAACATATTGTACTGTGTATTTGTCTATAAAGCAAAAAATTACAGAATAACAAATTGTATCGATACTTGAAGATATATTTCATGTTTCTTACACAATGTAATTCGAAATTGTTGAATAAACATAAAAAATATTCCTATGCTTTGATCGTCATAAATACTGATAAAATATCTTTTTATATTTTTGAAATTATCACACATTGCAACATCGAGAAATGTGAAAAAAATTTTGTGTTTTTCTGTATTTGTGGACGTTAGCGTCGTGTGTGTGTGTGTATGTATGTATGTATGTATGTATGTATGTATGCGTACTGTACGTGTGAATGTGAGTGCGAGTGCAGATTAAGAAAACAATCTTCACCATTTTTTAAAATTAATAACTCCTGTTATTTTCGTCGAAGATCTCTGAACTTTTGCAGGGAGATATGGTTATTAGATAGATTAATTAATGCTATTAAGTTTTGGTGATTCAACGTCGATAAAATAGGTCTTGTCAAGCTCCAGATGGGTCGGACTTAATGACGATAATACTTATTACTTGCATTTAAAATTTTTTATAAAACATATTCCTACAATCAAAATTAAAGTTTTTTTTTTCATTTCATAATAATTAAAATGTAAAAGTCATTTATAATAAAAGATGAAAACAGATAGCAACAAAAATATTGCCTTGTACATTAAAAAATTCATTGCTAAAATTTTTTAAAATAGATTCTTTAACTTCTCTAAACATAACTTACATTTCATCCACTTCATTTTTAAATTCAAATGTCTTTTTTCTAGGGTAAGACACCATGTAATTAAGTAGAAAGTCTCGTGAATATGCAAATTGGCCTTCTCCTTTAATTCTCGCCATTGACACTATCACACTTTTAGAACTGAAAAAAGCATATTTTGTATCTAGTACATGTTGAAGAGCATCGTCCATATCAGAAAATAAATTCTCTGGATGTTCTCGTAAATGGTCTCCAAGAACTTTTACACTTCGCTCATTTGTTTCCTGAAAATAATTTATCCGATTATGCGAACTGTCAAATTATGTAAACACTTTTTTTATTATAATTTTGAATTATGAATACTCCAAAATAATTTGGAAATCAATACAAAAAGACGATTACGTAATAGAGTTAATTATACCAAGAGATATGTTTCCAAAGATGAATCACTCGGTGCTCCACAAGAATATTTTCCTTTTTTTCACAGAATCTGCTAGTTCTTCAATAGTTGTAGGTATCGATTCGTACAAAGGATAAGTCATATGAGAGAAGAGAACTCCACAATAACCCGATATGAGGACTACTGTTATTAATAACCAGGCACCAATTGTGATTCTAGTTGTGCTATTTCTGATGTGATTCATTTCACCGCCTGTCAAATATTGTAAATTATTAACGTATTAATTATATCCCAATGTTGATTTTTTTCAACGTAAATTTAGCAATTTTTCTTCCAGAAGTATTACGAGTTTTGATATTTCGTATTATTTTTTTACTATTACTAGCTGCAAGGANTATAGCAGCATTAAGAGATATCCAAACCTATAATTAAATATTAATACTATATTTTATATAGAATTATTTAAGACGCGGAAGAAATAAATTAAAGTAACCTATTATTAATAAATGTAAAGAATTAAAAACAAAGTAAAAACAATATGTAACGTTTAGGTTTCATTTTAATTATGTAAAATTATTTAATAAAATTAAAACAGTAAACAACAATGTGACTAGGTTAACTTTTACTAGACGGAAATCCTGAAACTGGCATGAAGGTCCAATATTTGCATCTGTGTTTGTGAAATTTCTAAAGTGTTTGTTACACGTCTAACACTTTAATACCAAGTAATTTCTTACAAAAAGTTCTACTGAAATGCATAGATTAGCTGTTCTTCCTGATTCGACTTAGTCTATTTAATTTCTATGAGGAAAAAAAACTGTCAATTTCGCATTTATTTACATTAGTTTGCATAGGTAATAAGTGATAGAAGCTTGAATCTTTCTACACTGTGCATTATTTAAATGAGAATAGATATGATTTGTCATTACAAATTGATTAAATTTAAGGTGTGACTACAATAAACATAAACAAAGTCACGTAACATTCAATTTGTCCTGATACAAACAATTGTTATAATTGTACTCATAATACAACCGAATGAAATACTCCGAAGTGAATTCCGAATTTAATTAGTTGGTCACTTGAATTATAAACCATTTATTTTTCGTAGTAGTTACGAACCGTTACATCACTTTTTTCGAAAATAAATTTATAATTGGTCAGAATTTAATTAAACAATATATTTTAAAAAAGGAACTGAAGGCAAGTCAGAAGCTGCAACTCTTTTATTGCTTATGTTGCAAGTAACGAATTTTGGATTATCCTCTCAGATTAGGTACTCCTACGTTTACAGTATGTAAATAAATCGTGTTTCTAGGGTAGGCTTTGTTTTATCTGAAAGTATAATGTCATGTGTTGTTTATTGCAATAGATTTATCTTTCTTTTTTCTACAAGTAAATTAGTGTAGTTGATTTTACATTCCTTCTCCTGAGAGAGTCATAACATACTTTGGATTTCGGAGTAATTCTCACAGTTGTTCCTTACGTATTTCAATGTTTCTTAAAAACCAAATTGGAAGCGTGTCCTATAATACAAAATTGATGGCAAAACTTTTATCGTAAAAGGTTGAATTTCGATTTTGCCAATTTCCAAGTTCGAAAAAATACAGAAAGCGAAAGAACAAAGAAATGTACAGAAATGTCAATTTAGAAATTGCATGTTAGTACTGAAAAGATGATTCATATGTTCACTTGCTTGCTCATAAGAATTTTACTATTTGTATAAAATTAGGGGGTGAATGCTGGTAGCTGGATGTGTTGGTGAACTTTTTAGAAGAGTTTATTAACTGCATAAGAGTGAATTGAAGAAATGTAAGTTGCTTAAATATGAAGGATTTAAAGAAGTGGTATTTGTAAATAAATTATCTTTGAGTTTAATTATGTGTTTATTAATAATTGCTGGGATTAAATGAAGTCCAGGACGTTTACCTCGATCACCACAAGAAACGAGCCAAGTACATATACAAAGAAGGGGGCGTGAAGAGTACGCAAAGATAATGCCAAAGGAAAGAAAAAACAACTGTCTCAGTTAATTAGTGACGACTATAATCAAATAGAGGAAGGTCTCTCTAAAAGAAGATCTGAAATTTCGAAATGTACGAAAATTTATGATTATTTTGAAACATTAGGAAATTTTGAATTACAGGTACAGTACAGGAGGAGTCTCAATATACACTAAAGTCGATGTATGATTTAATACAAGATAAATTCTCACAGCTTCGTGTCGAACTACTAGGAATTAAAACAGAGATTAACGCTCTGAAAGATGAAAATAAACATTTTCATGGTGAGCTGTCAAATCTGTCTCAAAGAATGCAAAAAATGGAAAAAATGTCCATGAACAATAGTCATATATAAGGTATGTTGAAATTCAAAATAGACAAGCAACTTAATAAAAGGAATAACAAAAATTTTATAGTAATAAATTTCCCATTTAATTCGCTTCATTATGTAAAAAAATCAATCAGTTCTTAAAAAAGTATTTGTGAAAAAATAATAACTATATAGAAAGTTTAGTTAGACTAACCAATGGCGATGTTAAACATAGAGTGAAAATTACACTAGAGTCCTTATATGATAGAATTCTTATTCTTAAGGAGTTATGGAAAAAAATCTCAGTAATGAAAAGAGGGAAAAAATAATATTTACAGCAGCCTTATGCAAGAGATCAAGACAGAGGAAAAAGAAATTAATTAGTAGCAGTAACTAAACGAAAAAAAAAACTTAATGGAAATACAATAATTATAGGTGATGACTTCTATATGAAGGAAAAAAAAATTACATATGATGTTAATTTGGACCATGTAGTTTAATTGAATGGTTTTTTGGGAATGAGCTGACTTTCAGTTTGGACTAAGTTACAAATGGGATGGATACAAGCAATAAATAAATGAAATATTAAAAAATTCAGAAAGTAAAGAATTTAGAAACAGAACTAAACTATGTTCATTTTGTACGGTAATACCCAGTAAAATTTTTTATTATTATAGGAAACTGTGATAAAGTAATACAGTAGATCCCCCTATAAAACCGTTTCCTATAGTTATGATTCCTATAAAAATTGTGGCAGTATCCGTAAACAACGGTAAAAATAACTCCTATAATACGTAAAACGTCATCGGGCAGCCGAACTACTTTCCCGCCGTCCGTAGCGCCACGCTACGGACGTTTAGGCGGATAAATTGAGTTTAGTATCGTCTGTTCATATAATTATATATAAATTAGGTACTGTACATATAATTATATATTAATTATATATAAATTAGGTACTGTATATATAATTATATATTAACTTAATTTATTGTAACTTTATTATAATTAAATATATATTTTTCGCCGTCTAGCGTCACGCTACGGCGAGTTAGGCGACCTATCGTCTGTCCAGTACTGTAATTTTATACATTTCTTGTGAAAGAAACATTTCTTATTTAACGGCCATAAAAATTATTTATATTAAGGATGTCTCCAAAGGTCAACGAAGTTTTCGCAGAAAAATAATATCAGAAATCGCGGCCGCGGTTTGATGCGCTGTTCCGCGACGAAACCAAGCTTTAGCAACGGGCGTAGTCGAACGGTACACACTCGGTAAGCAATCCTACAATTTTTTGTTTATAACGTAGTTTATACGGATTATTTTCAAAAGAATATACGTATTTTGGAAATGTTGAGTCGAATTAGTCTAGAATCGATTAATTTTATGAAAGAAAACCTTTCAAACAGCCGTAGTCCGTAAACTATGATTCCTACAAAACTGATTCATAAAGAACGGAACGTATCTACCGTCTTATAGGGGAATCTACTGTAATTATACTATTGAGGTAATGAAATTAAAAGTTCTTAGTAGTTACTAAATATTTTCGAAAGTTACATGCCTCAATTTATCAAAGAGTGTTATAACAACAAATCCTGTGAGTTGTGGTTATAGAAGGTTGTACTAGAGCTACCAGTTGCGTTGGTTAAGTTTACTGATGAAAAGATTAAGCACTTTTCCATACAGCAAATTGTAATTAATGGTAAATTTATAATCTGCTGAAAAGAAAATATTTTTGTAACTGTGTAACACGGTATGTGATTTTAAGTAAGTTTACAAAAATGGATGTTAAAGTTAAGGAAAATAAACAAGATGTCAATCATATTGGAAATCATGTTATAATATGACAAAACCACCTCTGGGTGGTTATAATCTATAACTCAACCCCTCTTGTATCGGGTATTCCCATTACGAACAAACATTATTTACTTACTTACACTTACTTACTTACCAGTGTTGCTGCAATGAAATTTCAAAACGTACTGATGCGCCTTCAAAAAATGTACTATTTTCCTTCAAAATGTACTAGTTCTATGAATGCTTTGTTTACGTGCCTATATATATATAGGCACGAATATAATAAGATTTAAAATTAAATTATTTGACAATAAACTATATATATATATATATAAATTACGTGCCAATATATATATATATAGGC